ATAAATAAATATATTTATAAACGGAAAATACAGTAATAGAGAGGAAATGTCTTTAGAAGGCAAAGGCGAGTCAAAGCAAACAACGCACAGTTGATAAACAAGAAAATACACCATAAGACTAAGGGGCTAATCAATATTGCAGTGCAGGCGGCAACTGTATGTGAATCACAGTTAACTTGGAGTTTAACAATAGAAATGACGATTTGGGGCTTAGCTCCTAATATATTTCTCTTGAATCCAATCTTCTATATGTAGTTCAGTGTGGGAGCTACGTGATCGCAACTACTTAACATACATACATACATACAATACACATACCAATACAATATGTGTGTATGTAGAAGTGAAGTCTAGATATGCGTTGCTTCGCTGACAAGGCCATAAAAAATGATAAGCTACAGAAAGTGATCTTGGTAAACAATATACTTATTTTTTACGTGCGTCTGTTTAATGCGATAAAAATAAAAGAAGCGAACGAGTTGGTTGGTGGCCAAAGTAGATAAACTAACTGAACTACGCGGATCTTCAGTTTTAACTAATTGCGATTTTAAAAAATTCACGTTTGGTTTAAAATCATTTCTGTAAGCTTGAATAAAAATTTATCATTAAAAAAAAAAAAAGAGAAGAGTAATAATTTCAATGTAAAATCTAAACAGATACACGCAGACCAACATCTCAAATTGCAGCTGCCAGTGTTGTCACTCTAGCTGAATTACAGCTAAAACCACAATTTAGCTAGTATTTTTGCAGTATAACACTTAAATTCTGGCAACCCTGACCGCCAGTTCTACAAGTGTATCAAAAAGAAAACTTGAAATACACGCACACATAAGCAAGTCGAAATATTGCTGAAGGATGCGGATGCAAGTTTAAAGCGTAGCTGGCAAAAAATAAAGTGGGCTGCGATTGCTGGTGGAACCGGTTGGCTGGGCTTTGCCATCCGTTCGTGTTCTCTTCCTCTATGTTTTTGTCTTTGGATTTTGCAGCTAATTAAGGAGTGTGAGTGCGAGTAGTTCAATAAAAAAAAAAAAAATAGTTGTTATAAAGGCAGCAGTTGACGCAAAGGCGAATGCCAATTAGTCACTCGATTGGCTTAACGCCCATTTGGGAGGCTTAGAAATGAGTGAGTTATCGCAAGTGGCGCGCGCCTTGAGTATTCTGATTAGAAATTCAATGCGCTGCACGCTTTGGCTGTGTGTCCGGACCAGACCACTTTGGTATTGTAAACGGCTATTTAATACATCCATAAATAATTCATAAGACAAAACGACTGGCGAAAATCGACGCCCGCTGCTTCTGCTTACATATTTCCGGTACTTACTCTTTGTCGTGTGCTTCTGCGTCAGCTGCGCGGGTGGCCACTAAATTATTATTAGTAGCAGAGGAGAGGAGCTGCTTCGTTTTGCAGATGTTTTTCTTTTCTTTTGTTTTTTTATTTTTGGCACAATAATGAGCAGAGGACCTTCTAATTAACAATTAACAGTTAGCAGTTAATAACGGGCGAAACACTTTCGTCAGCACGCACAATGAACGGACAAGGGGGAATCAACCGAATCGTAATGTCTCAACAAAGTTCGTCGCAGAACAACCGAACACCAAACCGTTCAACTCAAATAACAAACGACGACTGCGGTTGCCGCTCGACTTACGATCAGCGTCAACAGCGAAACAGAAGCAGCGCAGAAAGCAAAAAGAAACTTCTACTCCAGGGGTTTGCAATGTAAGCAGAGCTACAGGCAGCCGACGACAGCGACGGCAGCGCAGAGCTGGAAACAGGCGTAGACAAAGAGAGAAAGGCCGGAAGCGCCAGCAGCGGCGTCAACAGCTGAAATGCGGGCTCCAGAGGCAACAATATTGCATCAAATGACCATCAGAGCTATCGATAAAAGCGATAGTGATATTCTTTTTTCTCTCTGTTGTTTCCTTCTTCTTATTCTGTTGTTGCGCTGCTGTATGCTTACAATGCGTAAGGAGTCAATAACAAAACTAATGAGCCTTGACGGCGGCACCGCATACATATGGATGTATGTACGTAAGTGTTCACACATACGCATGCATACATATTCACGCCTTATTGCTTTATTTTGCCATTCATACTTCACACAATGACCCCACATGGCAGCAAGCGGGCACTGTTGCAGTAGCAACTTTAAATAAACAACTGCACTACAATGAAAAGCGAGAGCGGAGAAGAGAAGAGAGATAGAGGCGGAAAGGCAGAAGGGGAGATGTATAAGAAATGCTGTTGCGAGACATTCTTGTAAATTGCTACAAATATTGTGTTTGATGATTGATCAAATTTAATCAGATTACACAATGGCTTATCAATTTATCAATTAATATGTGCGAATGTTATCGAATACTTCATAGGAATGCAGATTTATTAAATAACACATGAATATGTAAATATGTACATATATGAGTCGCTGTTGCCAAAGTGTTGACAAGCCTTGTTATGATGGGCTTACACCCCATTTCAAATACACACATATATATACATACATACACACACTCAAATTCAACATGTGTGTGAAAGATGTTCTTGAGCAGCTCGCCGCGCCGTCATCTCCTGAACAGACGCCATTACCATTTGCTCTCGTATTTATACATATTTATATAAGTATGTATGTACATACACACATGTACATATATTTTGTGGTTTGTTACTTCAAATATACTCTCGTATTTATGCCAACGTAGCACTGCATTTCCAAGCCTCCCCCTAACGGTAAAAATCAAACCTAACCACTTGAAGTACTACTTACATATGAATGCACCTACATACATGCGTGTGTACATTTACAGTTAAGTACACACACACAGAAGTGTTTGTTTATTTATGGCTATCGTTGGCGGGCAATTTAAATTATTATTAATGCCAATTCAACAATAAGCAGCAATGGCATATGTACATATATGTTTGTATATGTGTGCAAAAATAAATATGCCACATTCAAAAATATTCGTAGGCCAAGCAAAAATCAATCCGTATCAATAATAACAAACAAAGCGCAATAAGATGAGCAGCAAAACGAAACGAGAGCCGTAAACGTAGCCGACACGGTAGGCCGTGTGGGCGAGTGAGGGGCTTTGGTCAGGCCGGCCGGCCGGCCGATCGGTCGGCAGCAGATAAGCGGTCGCGGTCGCGACTCATGAGAAATGCTGCCGGATCGTCACAAATTGCGTTGTTAGAGAATATCATAGAATTTTCTTGTTATTGTAGTTGAAACTTCGCACTTAAGCAAAAATTCAGTAAACCAACCATGCGATAGATAATACAAATAAGAAATGGTTCGCTTTTCATATACACACAGAAGTCCTGAATAGACTATTTCTCTTTCTTATCTTTATAAATTTTTTTTTTCAATTGCCCAAAGGAATACATCGGGTTTTCTGTATTTACCTCTGTTCACAGTTACTCTAAATATTACATATGTATGTAAATTTTACACTATTCATAGGAGCAATTGGTTTTTTTTTATTTCCTCCTGTTCACAGATGCAATATCTAATGTAAATACAAAATTTTATTTTTTTTTCATTTTCTTCGTAAATTGTCAAATAGAGTATATTGCATTTTTCGTTTCCTTTTTTTTTTAATATTTATATGTACATAATTCTATCCCAAATTTCAGTAGATTTTATTTTTTTTTTTTACTGTATTTATATATGTACGTACGTAGCTATATAGGCATACACATACATTTTTTTTTATACATACATATGTATAGGCATTCCAAATGTTTTTAAAGTGCCTACTAATTTTTTTTTAAACCCCAGCAGCTAGAACGCTTGAGAGATTTTAAATACTTTCCACTTGACTGTGACAGACTTCATTTTTCTACGACCCGGCCAAAAGATTAATTTTAAGGTTAAGGCACTTATATCTCAAATGATGAAGCTATAATATACACTAAGATTATAAGTAACCTACGTTGAGTCAGCCACACAGTAAGGCAGTCGACCACAAATTGCACTTGGCGAATTTTACGTAACGGTATTGAAAACGTTAGCCACAGAAATTGTTTTCGTTTAAGTCAACCGCAGTTGGCAACATCGGTTCACTGTGCCCTCGCTTCAATATTAAAAACAATAACAAAATACTATTGACAGCCCCTCCCTGCCTCCTTCAACTATCCTCTTTCCCCCATCCCGCTCTCGAAAACCAAATGTCTGTAATTTGAGCCGACTTCAATCCGCCCCGAGCTGAGCTTTCAGTGCGATTCAGAATGCCAAGCCAACATTAAGGACAGATCTACAGTGAAAACTCTTGTATCACAAATTGCTAAAGTGGCTAAATCAATAATAAAATAAACAAATAATATTCTCTATTTACATACATATACATATGTATATACAGTTTGGCAAGAAAGTGTTTACACATAGGGAAAAAATTTTAATTTTTTACTTTGAAGCGAAATAAAAGCATTAAGAATATGCATATTCAATTTTTTTTAAATGAAAATAGGTAAATTAGACTATAAACTATATTAGTAAGTAAAAAAAATTACAATATGTTTCCATTAACAAAAGAAAATAACAAAANAAAACCAATGTTTTGGAGGAATGGCAAAATATCCCAGTGGAATATGTAAGAAACTTGGTCCAATCGATGAATAGACGCTTGGGAGCAGTCATAGATGCCAAAGGTGGCCAAAAAAATGATTAGTTTTAACTAAAAAGTAGTTAAAACACTATAATGAATTAATTGTTTTAGTTGTGTAAACACTTTCTTGTCAGCTGATTTTTGTTACTTCTTTTGTTTTTTGTTATTTTCTTTTGTTAATGGAAACATATTGTAATTTTTTTACTTACTAATATAGTTTATAGTCTAATTTACCTATTTTCATTTAAAAAAAATTGAATATGCATATTCTTAATGCTTTTATTTCGCTTCAAAGTAAAAAATTTAAATTTTGTCCCTATGTGTTAACACTTTCTTGCCAAACTGTATGTACATATGAATATGCATTTTCAATTTTAATTAATTTGCTCATTTAGTTTCAATTGCGTGGGTCAATAATTAGCTGTTTCGGAGTATGCAGTCTGCAGAATATTTACCGTACTGGCTGCATACACACGCAAAAGTATTCCCATACACGTATACATATACAAACAGACAGGCATGTATACACATACATGCATACACACATAAGCAGCGACGCCAGTTAGGGCGGTGGCTGCTGCCTGGCAGCAGGCTAACTATTCTCATGTATTTTGTTGCTTCACTGACTGCAAGCTTGCGACGCAATACTTTTTTAACAGAGGTAGGTGATTTCTTCTTCCACTCTCGCTCGCACGCTCTCTCACTCTCTCTCTCTCACTCTTTGTCCATCCCGGCTTTTTTTTCTTTTCCATCAGCACGATCCGCAGACTTGGGCGTCTACTACTCAAACTCGAGGAAAGTAAAAGCCACTCAGTATAACAAACTGTGAGCATTAGGTAAGGATATTTTTAGCGAACAAGTCCAAGTGCAAACGTGTTGGCAAGTGTAATCAGGCGTAGAATGCTCAAACAAAGACAAGACACAACGCCAATGAAAATAAGTCAAGTCAGGCAACTTGAACGAACAAGGCAACAGTCGCACAGACAACACACTCATACACACAAACTCGCACTCGTACTCGCTCGCTCACACAGTACACAGGCATGTGCATGCATATATACGCACTTACAAAAGAAAGAAGAGACAGGGCAAAGAGCGTACGAGTGACAGCACAAAGCGTAAAAGGATAAATGAAGCACGCAAGCGAAGAATGTTGATAAGCAACGCAGAGCACAAACAGGCAACAAAAGAGTGAGAGAAACAGGCTTGTATACAGTAGGGAAGAAAGAGAAGGCGAGAGAAACAGAGCCAAAACGGATACAAAGCCACCGGCAGCGACGCCGACAGCGGCGACGAAGTGGCAACGCCGACGCAACTGCAGGCGGCACACCCAAAGTTGAGAAAAAGGCTGCAAATAATGCCGAATATTATTATCAATCAGATGTGTTAGATGATTTTTCTTAACATTGCAATTAATAGCAGCCAATATATTGCTTCATTTATTTTTAAATCAGAATTAATATCAAATTTGGCTGATATTTGGCAAATTTCTGTCATCGCATCCAGCCCACATACACTCAGTCAAACACACACACATGCAGGCAAGAGCATGGCGTCCTTTTTGAATTTTCTTTGCTTAAGCTGTCTGTGGCAGTTTTACAAGTTTCTTCTCACTTTATTGAACAATACTACTTGTTATTGCACTTAACGTTAATGAATACACACGATTTTAAGTCATAATTCACAAAGTCTCGTCCTACACTCACATTCACACACTAAACTCCAAATGTACATATACAAAGCGTTATACAGAATTTCAACAGCAGCACTTACACATACAAAGGCACTCAGACAGCTTGGCTTGGTTTTTCAAATTTCGTGATTGCCATTTTTTTTATGCGTTTTTCGAACTCATTTTGAATGAAATGAATATTGTAAGTTGCATTTACCTGGCTCGTTACTTATATTACGCACACGCACTTTATTCTTATATTCTGATTTTTCAAATATAAACCGCAGTTCGTTCTTCTTTCTTTTAAACTACTTTCTGTCTCACGTAGAGCTGTCAAACAAACCGAATGCGTTGAAGCAGAGTGTGTGTGTGAACAAATGGGCACATTTTTTTCATTTTCATTCCCTTCACCAAGCGAAACGCTGATATCTATCGATAGTTGTGCAGTCACTCTTAAGAAAGTTAAGCGGGGCGAGTTGGCCGCTGCTCAATTTAAAATAGTGGCGCAACTGTCGGCTTTTTACAACTCTTAATACTGCTAACGATCAAAATATTTAAGTAAAGAATTTACCGTTTGTAACGTAAATCGTAAAGCAATTTTAGGTTAATTTTGTAAAAAGCTGGTAACTTTTATTCACTTCAATAAGGTTAGAGAAGTTTTGCGAATCAATGTACCATTACATATCGATAAACGCGTAAATTGCACACTCCTGATTTGGTATTTTTTTATATCTAATATTAGATTTTCGACCTATCCGTATGCGGTCGCACACAATATAACATAAATAACTCGTATTCGGCGGGAAATGGGAGAAAAGGAAGCGTTGCAATAAAACAATTTTAAACGTGTATAAGCACACAAAATTTAAGGCTGATTTAACAATATAAGGATGCCGCCAACACCAAAAGGAACATCGCCAGCCAGTCGTAAACGGTACTGCGGTCTGGGCAATCATCTACTGCGACCTCCACACAAAACAATTACCAACGATAAACTCCTGAGTTTCGCCAAACATATAAATCCGGAATTGCGTAGGACTACGCTCATCTGTGGAAGCTGCCTTGACACATTGCTGAAAATCTACAAGGTCAAACTGAAACACGCTGTGCAATTACGAAAGACTAAAAATCGTACCGCAGGCACCACAAATTCCATATCAGATGTGAGCACCAGTCAACAACAGACACAGAGCTCTAGTGTAGTATCGGCATACTCTTCCACATCCGATAGTCCGTCAGCAACATCAACTAACAACGGTGAGGTCTCCTCCAGCACCAACACGAAGCGCAAACGTCTGGAGCAGCCATCATCCAGCAGCGACGATGATGACGAGTCCATGCTCAGTCTGAATGCTGTGAATGGAACTCGTCTCCCAAATATACAGCCAATACCAAAGCGTCGTCAGTTCGTCCACCTAAATAAAGATGTGATGGACATTTATTTGAGTGGTACAACGGGCGGGTAACAGAGATTGAATATCTGTTCATTATTAATAGATTCTTTTGGGAAGTTCTCTGGCAGCTTCTATTAACTCGCAATTAAGACTAACTGTAGATAGGACTAAGATATAAAGAACGTGATGCTATAGCTAAACGCATTAGGCTGATTACGCACTTGCATGTTAATTATATTTTGTAATCTCTGAAGTTATTGTTAAGCTAAGTGCAATTAAAAGCACAGTAAAAACGTTCAACCATTTTCATTTATGCACAAAGCTACAGAAATATGTCGATAATGCATCATCAAAGGCGTGATATTCTGTATACAATTAACAGATCTTTGCCTTTATAAAAATGATTTGTTCATTTTATTAAATTATTATTCAAATTAAAATTGGTTGCTTTGAGATTTTCAACATGAAAGCCTTTCAATAAAGGCGGTACGATATACGAAAAATAATATGCGAGTCAGTTTAATTAATTTAAATTTTAAAATATTTAGAATTACATTGATTGATAGAGTTGGTAAAATCAAGTGTTATATATAAAAGGTCCACACTTACTCCAGATACATTTAATGACAATACAATAATGTATTTATAAAATAATCATGTATTTTTATTAGCTATTCGATTCATCGATGATATATTTCGATTATTTTCAAATCCGATTTATGTATGTTCTGTTAATTTAAAATGCCGATTATCAAATGTTGAATTCAAAATTCTTGAACATTTTTTATTGATAATTTATAATCAAGCCCAGGTTGTATGCTTAGAGATTACTAGCGATAGTCGTGTATATAAGTCCTTTTAAATATCGTGTACTACAATTATTTTAAGGACTAATCGATTTAAATTTGAATTGAAATTAGCCGATTTACAAAAAATATAAGAAATAAATATTAGCAAACATGTATTTTCAGATTAATTGTGCAATTCAAGTGCATGTTTTATTTCAGCATGCATATTAATAAAAATAAAGATATCTAATAATGATCGCCTTTTGCTTTGCTATATCAGCTTACAAGAATTAATTAGATCTACAGAGTGAAAAAAGGGATCCACGTGTTTGCAGTTTGGGCTCTCAGTGGAAGTTTTTCTATAGAATTATCATATTCCATTTCTCTCGCTTTGAGGGAGAGTATTCGGTTTTCTAGTTTGGACATTCGGTTGCTCTCAAAGGGAAGATCGTTTAGGGACCGATAAGATTGATGGTCGCACGACAGTCAGTAAGTAAACAAGGACATAACGCAATACAAAAATTTGAATTCGCATACACAAGCAATTAATAAATTCACGTACATTTTCGCTTATATAAATATGTACATAAGGACATTTTGGTTACATAGATATTTGAGAGTTCTGAATTCGAGATAATAGTTAAAGCAGTGGAATCAGTACGCATATTTCCATATGAATTACTCTGGAAATTTCTACAGTAAAAAAAATTAATAATAATAATATTTATACAAATTGACTATTTTTACTAAAATGTTAAAATAGATGGGAAATAAGAAAGTAAGCAATTTTCTACATTGCAAAAAAAGTCGATAGTTCATAGCTGTAACGATGAATTCATCATCAGCTGATTCTGTTATGCACTTCCAAAAGTACGCTATTAGCAGAGTTAGTTTGTTTTATATTTTTAATTTTACACTTTTTAACCATTTGTTATTGCTTTTACAAGTGCAAGGTATTTAATCAGTTAATCAAATCTCCTACATAAATAAATTAATACAAGTATATAATACACACATATTTTGTTTGGCATACGAAGGATTGAAGTACTTGAAGAATTGCACTGTTAAAAACAAGTTGGCAAAATGTTAAGTTAACATACGAACACTGTAACAGCAGCAGCAAATACAAAATAAAATAATTGAAATAAACTAAATAACAATAAATTAATAAATTGCCAAAAAATCATTAGAGTACTTAATTGGCTACCAACTAAGTGTGAACAGTTAATAGCAATAGTCGTCCTCTAAATGGAGTGCCACACAAATTATCAGGTCCCATGCCATACGTCGTGCCCATGCTAAAGATAACAGAAGGCAGCCAAAGGTGTGTATATTGTGTCTGCCTAATTGAAGTTTCAGTGATTTACATTATTTGGTGTTACAGTACGCGATGGGCTGCATCACCAGCACCAACAAGCTGAGCGAGCTGCGACAGGAGAATGTCTTTCGAGTACGTGTGGCCCACTTGCAGCCGAGCGGACCGGAGGCGCCAATTGTGCGCAGCGGCTACTTGGAGTTGACACCACGTGAATTGATATTCATGTCGCCTGGCTGCGAGCCAATTGTGTGGGCATTGCAGCACTTGCGACGGTATGGTCTCAATGGAGATCTGTTTTCCTTCGAGGCTGGACGCCGCTGCATGTCCGGACCGGGCATCTACACGTTTCGCATACACAATGCCGAGCAACTCTATCCGATGTTTCAACGCTATATCAATGCGGTGAATACGGATGCCTTTGCGCAAGTGGAGCGGGAACGTGAACGGGAGCGCGTAAATTCCACGCATTCGGTTTCTGTGCTGATGGGACGCAGCGACGTGCAGCCACATAGCAACAATTATCTGGAGCCGGCTCCGATCCTTGCACGAAGCGCATTACAGTCGCACCAGCACCACCACCCAAGCGATGCAATCGCCTTGACCTCGGATTCCCCCGATTCGCTGCCAAATCTGCAACTTGTCAATGCCGACCAGGTCAGCAATGGAGCGCTGCAGTCGCCTATCACCCCAGGCGCCTATATCAACACAAGTGCCAATGTCTACTTCGATCAGCCGATGCAACGCTTGTTGCAGGAGCAGAGCAGTTGCGGATCCCCGCACCAGGCCACGCCCACCTCCACGAATAGTGCTCTCAGCACCATGCGTAGGCATCATCAGCATCAGCAAAACTTGGGCGATATGCCGCCCCAGGAATCAGCGCCGGCTCTCGCTGAAACGTTGCGTCTATATGCAAACGTGGATCGTTTGCTCTTCGATAGCGACCGTTGCTATGAGAACATCAACCGGTTGGATCTGCCCCTGCTTCCCCGTGACTCTTCGCAGCATTCGGTTGCCTCTTCATCGCAGCAACAGCAACTACAGCAGCAGCAGCCGCAGCCTCAGCCGCAGCCTGTTACCCCAACGAGTTTTCCAGGCGTCAACTACATTGTGCTTGACTTGGATCAACCGCGCAGTCCTGCCCAGAGCTCACCCAAACCGCTAGGCAATAGCTTTGGCAGCGGACTTTCGCTCTCGAACACAGCGCCCTTAACGCCGGAAGCAAGTAAAGTATCCGATACGACGACATTGCCGCATAACAGAAACTCCACGGCTGGAGCAGCCGCGACACCAGCTACAGAAATTGTGGGCTCTCAAGGCTATTCCACAATTGATTTTATACGTACCTACGCTCTGAATAAATCCTCTACAGCAGCTAACCACGATGTCGACTCTAGCACCAATGGCCAGCATCAACAAGACCATGGACCAGAGGAAGGGGAGCTGCGCAGCACGCGCCACAGCAAATGCATGCGAAAGGCCTACTCAATAAGCGAGTAAATAGACGAATAGCCCAGTTAAGAAGGATGCCAATCAACGAGTAAGAAGCCAGGGAAAGGACCTATACAATAGATGAATAGAAACGGAACAGCGAATTACCGAATTGATATGAAATGAGACAAGTGATATTAAACCCAACCAAACCAATATCTGGCCAGACGAATAGCGTGCATAATTATCGAGTTAGGTAGCGAGCAGAAAGCAAAGAGGATCCCAATTGGAATGATTAGGAAATCTAAGACAGACGGGCAGACGAATAGCATACTCAATTTACGAGTAGAAAACGAACGAGTGAAGAGAGTCGAAAGTACAGAAAATCACAATAAAAATGACAAGGAAACCATGCGCGCAACACGTTTAAAAAGGAAGCACAACGAATTTACAAAAAAAAAAAAAAATAATAAGAAAATAATAAGAAAAGAAGCCACAAAACAAAACGAGAAAGGGGTTCAACGTATTGCCCACTAAACCAGAATGGGATTCAAATTATGGCCAAATGTGTATTTGAATATAATCCACAAATGTTTGTATTCAGAGCGAAAACACAAAAATTGCAATCAGGTTGTTTCAATTGATGTACTTAACGTATATATTTATATTTATTATATAGATTTAACTGTGCACATATACAGACAAAAGTATTTTTACATACACACACACACATGGGGCTGTTTTTTTTTTTTAAGTGCTAGTCGCTTTCGAAATGTGCGAAATGAATTTTCTTTTTGTGAAAATGCAACATGTTAGGCTTTTTAATTAAAAAGCCATTAATAATTTATGACATATGTAAGTATGTAGATTGTACACATGTGTACATCATGTATTCGTTAAACGTAGTCAAGCCAAAATATTTTGTAGTATGCAGAACATTAAGTTAATGCTTTTTATATTGAATATGTTTGCCAAAAATCGCTGTTAATCTTATTTATATAAATTGCTTTATTGTTATCCAAAATTGTTTGGAAATTAATGTATGATGAGTCCAGCTATTTATACATACTATATATATACATATATACATGTATCTTGTTGGATTTGTATTTTAGATGCAGAAATATTTGAATATTATTTGTATTACTGTTTAGGGTCTAAGACAAAGATGTGCAATAAAAATGTAATGCGAAAATATTTATAAAAGCGAAATTAATTTACATTAAATTTATTTTATTTTCGTTTTCTTAAAAGAAAAAGTATATAGTAAGTCAAGTACAATCGAAAAGAGACAGGTATATACGATATCTATGTGCCTGCTACAAACTTGTTTACGGTATCGCCTTATTCGCGACTGGCTGCTTACGATATTCAGCGTAATCAAAATTAATTGGGTTAATAGACAATCAACGGAACGCTGCATTAAAAAAGATTTCAGTGGACTTCCAATTGGAAGGAATGATAACATAAAGAAAGACTTTATACTTAAACACATCAACTTTATTCAAGGCTCTTTGATCAAACAGTAAGAGTTAGCGCTCATAAATTCATATCATTTACCTTTAGTAATATTCATTCCATATTTCGTATCCACTTTTTCGTCTAGTTACAGCCAACCCCACATATTTTATAATATCGATCACACATATTTTTTTTTACTTAATTATACATTTTTACACAAAATGAAGTTTTAAAGTTTCGGATTGAAATAAAACCCTAAATATATTTTTAAGAGTTTTAAAATAAAATCAATTTAATTTAAAAGTATCATTTTTTCAGTATTATTACTATTTAACTAGCGCTTATTATTATTATCTCTTACTAGAAAAACCTCCCTTTCAATGATAGCACAAATCAAAATTCAAATATTTGTTTTTCTAACTGATGCCCAGTGATCTGAATGTATCGATCACAAAACGACTCAAGCATTTCCAGTGTGTACACTGTACAGGCGTCAAGCATTGAAAAAAGCGCCATGTTGTGTTGAAAGTTTTAAACTGAAGTATAGAAACGAATTTGAAATGGGTAAAATTTAAAAATGCAAAGTGCATGGTTAAGCTACAACCATTGGTAATGATATCACAAATGTATATTGAATTTTAAACTAAAAAAATTGTTAATACATTGTAATTTGTGCACCACGAATTCACTCAAACGTTTCCAGTGTGTACACATACAAATCTTAATTTATTTGAGCGCAAACATCGATAAACTGTTGGAGCTGTGTTGTGTTTACCGTTTTAAACTCAAATGTAGCGACGGATAGTGAGTGGCGCAAGTTAGTAAATATAATTGGCAAGATTAACAGACTGCATAAACAGTCGCACTCTTATAGCGTAAGCATACATACATATATGCAACATCAGCTGCAGTTGAATAAATTCAATTACAATTCAGCTGCAATAATATACACGTAGCCGGGGCGAGACACACTCATTTTATTTTCATTGGCTCTCACAAATTACTAATACAACGATCTTTAAAGCGGTCTTCGTTCCCCCACAACGTCACACTCATTATCAACAATTGCGGCAGCCAAGAGAATCAATTCCCGGCTCAATTTCAGTGAGACTTGTGCCATTGACTTTAACAGCCATGGTCGGGCGCATCAAATTGTGTGCACTCTTGACATTTGTCTATTTTTTGACCTTGGCGAAATGCGATCTCGGAACGGATTTGGCAGCGCGCATTGCACCAGACACATCGCCCGATGTACAGGAAGATGCTGCGAAACAGCTTATTCAGCGTGTTATTGGACTTCGAGCATCGCAATGGTTTCAGGTGGAAGTTAACAAGATTCTGGACCCGAGTAGCTATCAGGTGAGTCTAAATCTGTACTTGTGTATATACATATATTGGCTGCTGATTATTCAGTTAGAATAATCAAGAAATCAACATGATTTTCAATTATAGATAACTCGCTTAGATAATGGAAAGGTGTTGATTACTGGATCAAATGGAGTCTCTGTATGCAAGGGCTTCCATTATTATCTAAAGTATGTGCTGAAAAAGGATTTCGATTGGTATAAAACGCATATTGAGCTGCCGGAAGACTGGGATCCGCCTAATGTAACACACCGCTCAAAATCCAGCAGTCCGCTTATCTATTATCAAAATCCTTGCATATGGAGCTATAGCTTTGTGTGGTGGCAATTTGATGAGTGGCGGCGTCACATCGATTGGATGGCCATGATGGGCATTAATCTAGTGATCGCCCCCAATCAGGAGGCGATCTGGCAGGATGTCTACACAGAGCTGGGACTAACGCCACAGGAAATCGAAGCACACTTTGCGGGTCCTGCATTCCAAGCCTGGCAACGCATGGGCAATTTGCGAAGCTGGGGTGGACCTTTGCCGCCTGCACACAGGCAACTGCAGCAACTACTGCAACAGCGGATACTAGCGGCTCAGCGTGAGCTGGGCATGAGCGTGGCTCTGCCTGCGTTTGGTGGATATGTGCCGACCGCAATGCGGCGCGTCTTTCCCAATGCCAGCCTCACGCAGTCCGACCGATGGAACGATTTTCCTGATCCCTATTGCTGTGTCCTGTTTGTTGAGCCGCAAGATCCGCTCTTTCAGCAGGTGGGCGCAATGTTTTTGCGCCGGGTCATTCAAGTCTATGGCTCCAATCACATCTACTTCAGTGATCCGTTCAACGAGATGATGCCACGTGTTCCCGAGCCGAACTACGTGCGATACACAGCCAAGGCCATTTACAACTCGATGCAAGTGGTGGATGCTGATGCTGTGTGGCTGCTACAGGGTTGGATGTTCTTGAAGTCCGTCTACTGGACAAATGACCTCATCGAGGCGTACCTCACCGCTGTGCCACGGGGTCGCATCCTGGCCTTGGACCTGCAAAGCGAACAATTTCCGCAATACGAGCGGACGCACTCCTACTATGGCCAGCCCTTTGTGTGGTGCATGCTGAACAATTTCGGTGGCAACCTTGGCCTCTTTGGCTCCGCCCAGCTGATCCCTAGTGGAATCATAGCTGCACGCTCCATGCCCAACAGCAGTATGGTGGGCGTGGGCATAACGCCCGAAGGCATTGGCCAAAACTATGCCTTGTTCGCCCTCACTCTCGAGCAAGGCTGGAGTCAAGATGAGCTGCAGCTCGAAGAATGGTTCGAGTACTTTGCTTTAACACGTTACGGCGTAAATGATACGCGCTTAACGCAGGTGTGGCAACTTCTGCGGAATAGCGTTTACGCCTTTCAAGGCCGAGAGCGCATGCGTGGAAAGTATACGTTGAACAAAAGGCCGAGCTTACATCATTATCCTTGGGTTTGGTACAATGTAACCATGGTCTATGAGGCTTGGCGCCTAATGCTGGAAGCGAAGGACACGGTACCTCTAAATGATAACAGGCGTGCCATCTATGAGCACGACTTGGTGGATATCACGCGCCAGTATCTCCAGCTGAGCTTCGATCGCTTTTACGTCAATCTCAAGTCAGCTTATCGCAGTAAGCAACTCAATCGAGTGGAATATCTGGCTGGCAAACTTTTGGAACTGTTTGCCGATATGGAGCGAATACTAGCCAGTGGAGAGCATTATTTACTGGGCAACTGGCTGGAGGCCGCCAAGCGATTGGCGCCCAGTGAGGAACAGCGTCCAATCTACGAATTTAATGCACGGAATCAACTGACGTCCTGGGGCCCAAATTATCAGGTTCCTGACTATGCGACGAAACAATGGTCTGGCCTGATGAGCGATTATTTCCAGCCCCGTTGGAATATGTTTCTGGAGGCTGTGACGCAGGCGCTGCGAACACACACGTCTTTCAATTACTCCGAATTCAAACAGCGGGTTGAGAACGAAATTGAGTTGCCATTTGGCAACCACACCAAGGCATATCCCACATCTCCAGTAGGGAGCACGTGGAATATCTCACACGATATCTATGAGAAATGGAATGCTTATGCGAGAGATACGCTCTTTCTGAATTATTGCCAAATTGCTGTAAAGGTAGCGCAATCCCAAAAATCAGGAGAAAATGAGTGGTAATAATAAAGAAATGCATTAAATGATGAAATGATAATCATTCATAATAAAAATAATTTTCTCTAGATTATCATTTTTTATAATAATTGACAGATAAAAACTCTTAATATATATAATAATTAAAAATATAAGCTTCAGTGTTGCGTTTTATTTATAAAAATAATTATATAATGTTTGAGTTATAAATATAAAAAAAATTATTTCTTTTTTAGTAAAAATGAAAAACAATTTAAGATATGTTCATTAAATATTATTTTGGAGTTTTGTTGGTTTTCTATTTCTATTCATGTGGAAAACGAAACGAATGAAAAATAGTTCAAAATTAAACTCAATAGGAAAATAATGATCTGATCTTGGTTTAGCTCACAAACCTACCTCAATTCAAAACATTCTTTCCGATCCCCATTCACAAATTTGCATACATACATACATACGTACATACATTGAGATATGAACTTTATGGGTTTTTAATTGATTTTTATTTAAATTATTGTACAAACTAATTTAAATGTAAAAATTTAAACATCTTCATCAATCAATCATACGCATACGAATTACTATGGTTATTTTCTGTTTGTTTTGCAATTGTGTGAAGTGTGTTTCGTTTGTGTGTGTTTTCAGTTTGTTGCAACGCACATTACACAGACATGTACATATTTTATTGGATTGGTTTTATGCAAGTGGTTTACATAAAATTAATCATTTACTTGATGTGTGTGTGTGTGAGTGTGTATGTGTGTGTGTGGGCAAACTACATAAAGTTTATATTAATATAAATTGTTTCTTTCGTTTGTATGTGGAAAAAGAAGTATGGGAGATGTATTCGCTCGTTTTCATTTTCATTCATACACGATATTTCTACAATTATACTCATTTAAAAATTTCAAACAAACATTATCATTATTATTATTATTATTATAATATGCATTTAGTATTTATGTATGTATAAAGTTTTCATCTTTCGTTTGCTTTGTAATGTAGACGACGATGTTTTACAGCTAAGTTTTGGGGATAGGGAGTACGTGGTTTTGTTGTTGCTTGTTGGTGGCAAAAGTACGCAAAATATGTTAAATCATATTAAGGTATGCAATTGCGCACATTAACCGCTTACATTCTCGTATAATTTAACCAACTGTCAGCATGTAGATGTTCCTCTGTTTGTGTGTGTGTGTGTGGCTATGTGTGCTCTAGTGTTTGTGTGTGGGTGTGTGTGTATATATATAACGTTTATACTCATATGCATTCAATCAAACAAACATTTATACTTTTCCTCTAATTGAGAAAACACTCATACATTATTTGCAATCATAAATCATCAATCAATCATTATCATCAGCATACTCAAGCTTCAACTAACATCATGCAAGCAGCAGCAGCAGCTACTCAGCATATTTTTATTCATCCTGCATATCCTCTGGCAATTCGTGCGGATTTAACATGCCCGGAATATTACGTTGCATTTGACGTTTGTTGGACTGCTCCTCAGCCAATGCTGCCTCACGTTCCTCCAGATACAAATCGGAATCATCCTCACCAGTGGCCTCCTAAACATGATATATGAATGTGATTAATAGAAAGGCCAAATTAAATAATGTTCTACTCCTTTTTTCGCATTTTACTCACGCGTATTTGTATTAGAAAGTCTCTCAAATGCTCTTTAAATGCTTGTACATTCTCGTCCAAATTGAAAAGGCCAGTGACAAAGACTTTGATCTGATTATCTGATAAATGATTAAATGCTGACTTTAGCAATGAGGCCACATATTCCTGTATGAATATCATATTATCCGGTATGGGGCCCAACTCAACCGTTATCTTTCGATTCTCTACCAAAGAGAACATATAGGCCAATATAATGGCATGATTAGGCAGGCCCGCTGTATGCGAAGTGTCGGTAACCACTGAGAAGATTTGCATAAGGATATCCGTAAAGTAGGTTTGATAGAAACTCTGCGCTGCATTCGGATGCTGTTCAAGATTCTGCAGCATCTGTGAACGAGAAATATTATATTATAGATATCATATATCACTAAATCACTATTGAAGTAATCAACTTACTTTGTATAGTATATTTAAGCCCATGTCGGCCACATTGCGCATTGTGTGCTTGAATGCCCATACCACAGAGTCGAATACCAATTTAAACTGAGCCGGCGGTATGTTGAGGAACGCCTTGAAGCAGTGCGCATTGACCGCCTGCAGCAGCTCATAGAAACTGAAGCGATGCTGCGGAAAATCTTCGAAATTCTTATTAATCATGTCTAGCGTGCATTCAAATACAGCATCGAAGATTTTTGGTACTTCATTTGTGATATGCTGGCGCAATTTATTCACAATCGTTGCCATCGCGCTCAGAACTTTGGGCTCGCGCGCGGACGGAACTTTACACCGCTATAAAAAATATATATTTCAAATAATTAAAATCAAAACTAGATAAGCTTACAGGTATCTTACAGATGAATATCTTTGTGTAATGAAACATTTATGTAGTTATACTAAGGCTAAGTATTTTAGAATAAGAATAATTTCTTAAATTTAAAAAGCTTTTCTGTCTTCTTATATTGTCTAAAAAAAATACATGATCATGCCTATGAGGAAATATCCAACTAGAAAAATAATTAATAAA